CGTAACTGAAACCAGAACCATGTCAATCCGTCTATCATTTGGCAACAATAACTACCTAATAAAATTTGTTATGTCATTGCACGTCCGGAGTCAGAATTAGTAGTTAGTTCACAGACATTTGACAGAGCTCTCACTATTTCCATCCACTCTGCTGAGGTCTTAGGCCTGTTTGCCGAATCCTCTTTCAGCAGATCAATGTCATGCGTTTTCACTGGGTATAAATGTCAGCTAAAATGCATCCAATATTTCTTATTTCATCATAAATATTCAAAAACACTCTAATATAAAACGTTTTATCAATGTCAATGAAAATTATTCAAAATTGACAACGAGAAAAGCTCTCGGAAATCAACTACGAGTGAGTCACCTTGATCACGTTCAAAACGACTGCCGAACGACCAAGCAACCGATGACGTCATTGGTTCGCGCAGAGGTCATGCACAAAGCAGTGACGTGTCCGTTCTCGTTCCGTTCTCGTATGCGCATCTTAATGTCTCTATTACAAAATGCACTAAAAGAAAATATTAAAAACAATACAAACTGGCACAAAAATATTGAAAAAATCATCATAGGGAATTTTAATTTAAAGAACTTAAAGTGAAACAAAAGATAAATATTAATAATTTTTTGAAAAATAAAATGATGGACCATCATTAACAAATGAGTACCAGGAACAGTTAAATATTTGTCAAAATTGAGAGAAACAATTTAAGAACATGCCAATTATTTAATACAAACGTTGGAATAGAAAAATATCTTATGAAATAAAAGACTACAACAGAAGAATTAAATAGCAGTGACCATTATTTGGAAATTAAGTTAGGTAGAAGAAGAAAACCACTTGTATAAATTTTACTAGTGTGTGTGTGCGTGCGTAAGTCAAAAACAAGACGCCACCTACGGCGACATTTGAAGAATGGCGTGGGCTTTACCACAGTCCCTCAACAAGATCATGTATCCACGTGGTGTGATGGCCCCCTCATTGAAAACTTAATCAAGCTTGAAATATCAACATTTGTATGGTTTCAGCGACTTTTTTCTGATCATGTGTTGTTTTTTCAGTTTTCAGCTGATCTTGTTCTTTTAAAAAAATGTCATACAAGACTGGCAAAAAAACGCCAAAAACATTATACAAACTTGTTGGCGTGCAGTTCAAGTTGATGCTTTGCAACACAGACCTTAGAAAATGACGTCATATTTGCATTATTTTCTGTCTTCGTTTTATGTTAATGAATATCCGATCCTTATCCCGGATTAGTAGGTCTTTTGTTTCAAATGTTTACCAGCGACACGCATCTAACGAAAAGAACGCGATTTGGTTCATAACAGTCTTTTTTAGTAACCGTGACATCTTCCAAGTTGTAAAGATGTTATTCAAAGTTAGCAACAAACTGATTATGTGATTGAATTTGTATTTGTAACAACAAATACAAATTCAAACAAATCATGTTTGACAGTGAAGGAAATGTAGCAGTCTTCACTATCTCCTTTATTTCGTAATACAATTAAAGGCTTCGCAGCTATAATAAATAACACTTTGACCTCACTGCATTTCTACATATATTTTAAGTACCACAGAATGCATTTGCAATGGTACATTGAAAACTATAATTGTAGTTTAATACTTTTTACATGTTGGTGGCATTTGTTAAAGGGCGGTAGTCGTCGCGCCGCGCATGTGCGACATTTGTGTTGATAAACATTGATTTTCCCACCACAATCCAGTGCGCTTTTCTAATGAAATCACAAGTACGAGTTTGGTCCTGAGCGCCATTTGCACTAATCACCGCCGATGACTCCTTCGATACCTTCCAATCACCAGGAAAATACAAAAGTAAAGCTTGGTAACCTATCAGTTTGTACTCGTTGGTATGCGCAACAGTCAAAATCGCCATCTTTGTTTATATGAGACCCATATTTCGCGCACGCGTGGCACGAGGACCACCGCGCCTTTTAAAGTTGGCAATCTATTTACACAAGAAAATACCAAAAATTATTGAGGGCGCAATTAGTCCAATTATAAAATTAGTCTTAAAACCTAAAGTATCATTAATAAATTGCACTGTTATTAGATGTGGTTGTAATGTTGAAAAGTGGTGCCAATTTTTGTATGTACATTCGTTCTTATTCGGTTACGTAGATTATTGTAGCTCTCCCCGATGCTTGCACAAAAATTGATGACCCGCCCCTCTCCTTTAATTCTTCTCCAGTATTCTAAGTTTCAATAATTTGACTGAACTATCAAATTACCGTGTTTTTATTTTAAGATAGACACATATTTAAACCATAATAATATATTATGAGTGTATTTATCTGTTTGTTCATAGACCTTCTAAAGGGTCTATGATTTAGATAAGGGATTACAAGTAGCATAGATCACAGGAAATACCGCAGTTTCCTATCCCTCTGTTCCTCTAACAGAGGGTCTATGTTTTGTTATTTCTCTTATCTGAATTAATCATAGACAACACGGAAAATGCTTTAATGGTGTTTTAATGGGTAAGCTAAAGGGACTGAATGACATCTGGGGTGTTCTAATACGTTACTTCATCACAACTGATCGTATTCTCGTGATAAATAGTTTTGAGTTTGAGTTGTTAGTAATTAATTTCATGTCACAATGCACTATGCATTCTTTGGCATTAGTTGCGGTGTTTATGCTATTTATGCCTGATGACTGGATATAGAGAGCAGACTCGCAATCAGCCTCGATATGTATGATCCGTCGACATTAGATTTGATCTGCATCCATCCACAGTCTACTTAAATTATCTTCTACGAATTTTAAAAGTGATTAGATGAGAGACGACAGTTCGTAAGGGAAGTAAATGATACGACGCGGGTGGTGCAGTATGAAATGATGCGTTGTTTTCAGTGGGATTGACGAACCATCGTACGTAATGGGGTTAACGCGTGACCCGACAACACGCTTCTCAGCAAGAACCAAATAACAGCCTCAGCAAAAAAAAAAAAAAAAGGTCAACCCCAATTCCCGTTTTGTAGGCATCATTTTGACCACTGTACTGTTTCTGTTTAGTGATGTATTTTGAATATTTTTAAGTTTTATTATTTTGTTTTCTTTTAGAGACGATATGAATGGTATTGTCGACGAAAGTTTAGTTTGGAATGTACAATAAATCGAAAATAAATAAAAATGACAACTCTATGTCAGATAATCTACACAGCATCAGAGCAGAATAATCAATATGCATTGTAGTTTGTTTGTCTCAACGAATGTTTTTCACGTGAAAGTGGACTCCGAGACCGTGTTTGATGGTAGACGTTTATTTCAAATGAAGTGCGTTTTTTTTTTTATATAGTAACTTAAATTTAATTTAAAATAAAGTACACATGTGGTTTAATTTACATATTACAGTGTCATCACGCCCACTGTTACACTCGATATTTGCCTGTTCTATCAATCACAGACAATATAGTACGCCCACCCCCTTTGCGTGGCCCTCATACTGTGACAAAATGACCCGTCTACGTATATGACACGAGTTGACATTTGTTAGTTACCACCAAGCCGTCTCAAGAATGCTTCTCATATCTATGGGATAACACCTTAGGAGGGATGATATTTGAATCGAGGTTTGTGCTTTATCGCTTTACTGGTAGCGCGGAGTTCAAGTTAGTGCATCGATCAATAAATTATCATTTTCACTACAACCATTGGATGTAAGTTGACCTGTGTGTTGTGCGAAAGATAGTTCGTTGACCAAACATTTTTGTCTGGGTTTAGTGAACAAAGCATAAAATAAAACCACGTCGACGTAGAAAATCTGATCATTAGTTTTAATGGCAGCCAACTACATTGAAATACTGCATTCATCACACAACGAAATTCCAATCTAAGATCACCTATAACCTTAAACATGGTGTGTTGCTACACATTGATAATTGGGTTTTATATTGGGCGTTGTGTGACATCGTAATCGCCATGGTGATCACTGTTGATGATGAGATTAGAAATTCAAGACAGATACATATCCCAATGTTTAC